AAATCACCATTCTAAGAAGGATAAGAACAGCTTCACAGTAACAAGGTTTGAAACTGCAAAGAGGTTACGCAGGCGCATCTCAATTTTGAAGATTAAGAATTTAGGAGGAGCTGAAGAAGTAGTGATACTTGAGGTAAACTTTCGAAGAGTAGTGGTGATATTTATCATATGTAACGGATCACATCACGCAGAAACCAAATCTCTTTTGACATTTCGTAAAATCACATTAGTTAAGTATTAAGTGTAATCGTTTCAAATCTTGCAAGCAGCACACAGTAGAGTTGGAACGACCTTTTTTTCATAAATTGCTCAACCTTTTTGTGTGTCACACAAAAGCTCTACTTGTCATACACAAAGTCAACATCAATTGTTAATTTCAGTCTATTCTTAACGTAATTCCTGTCGCGCTGGTTGTTTTCATCACTCTACAAATGCTTTTCATAAACAACGATGATAGCTCAGTCAGCGTTGTGAGTACACTCTATGCTTCAGTCAGTGAGATTTTTATCTTCAACTTTTTACCCATTTTGAGGCCACCGTGGAAACGTTCTGGATCTATTTTGCTATACGAGTAATCTGCAATGCACTTTAGGATTCCAATGAGAGGTGGGCTTGCTTTTAACTTTCTTATTTCTCATAAAAACATTGATATCCGTTGTTTAACATTTCGGTGATTCAGTTGGTATTTGTCGGTGCTATAGGTGGGGTCGCTTATCGTGGAAGTTTATCTGCTAAGCTAAAGAAAAACGAATTTCGCACCTAACCTGCTGGTTCTCACAGCGTAACACGCTGATATGGTAGACTGGAATCGGAAAACATTGCAGTTTGTTAGTGTTTAAACTACACGTGCGGTAGTGATTATAGCTGTCATTTAAGGTGTTCATACTCGTTGAATTTGTCTCTGTCTACTGAACAAACCATTTTCTCTACCCTCTGTGGTTTAAAATTAGGTGCCATACTTTCTGTGGGGCGAAAATGATGACTTGATATATAAATGAGCCTCCGCTGATGATTATATATAAGCCGGTCTGCAGTAAGTAATTTTAGAATGTTATGGGAAAATTCAAGCATATTTCACTCTCCAATGACATAATTTAAAGTCAAAGATTTTGTACTTTCGTGTAAATTAATGTAACTTCCGTATAAATTATAATTTTTATCGATCTGAAAAAAGCCTTTGATTCAGTGGAAACAGAAGCGGTTACAGAGGCTCTGGATAACCAGGGCGTCCCTACTCGGTACATAATGATCCTTCGTGAGCTTTATAAAGATTTCCTGACCAAAATGTCTCCATTTTACAACAATATCACCATTGACGTAAGAAGAGGGGTTCGACAAGGCGATACAATTTCGCCAAAACTAATCACAGTCACCCTACAAAACGTCATGCGAACATTAGAATGGGACGAAATGGGAGTGAAAATTGATGGTCGACAATTAAACCATCTTCGCTTTGCTGACGATATCGTTCTCATAACACCAAACATCAGCCAAGCGGAACGAATGTTGACTGATTTCGATAACGCCTGTGGAAAGATTGGTCTTCAACTCAATCTAACGAAAATAATGTTTATGGGGAACGGATGGGTTTCTAATGCCCCATTCACGCTCAACGGAACGACAATTTCCGAATGCTCCAGTTACGTCTATCTAGCTCGTGAAATCAACATGATGAACGACCTAGCCCCAGAGTCGAGCAGGAGGAAAGGAGCGGCTTGGGGAACGTTTAAGAGCATCGAAGATGTAGTGAGGGCAAAGAACATCCGACTCCGTGCCCACCTTTTCGACTCGACAGTTATCCCTGCCCTAACGTATGCAGCAGAAACCTGGTCGCTCCGTAAGCAGGATGAAAGATCACTTGCCGTTATCGAACGCGCAGTCGAAAGGTCGATGCTAGGAGTATCCCGTATCTCGCAAATGAGAGAAGGGATCCGAAGTGCCGACCTACGTCAACGATCGAAAATCAGAGACGCTGTTCTACACGCGAGGATATCGAAAATAAGGCGGGCCGGACAAGTGATGCGCTTCAACCACAACCGATGGACGAGAACCGTTACCGACTGGATTCCTCGGGACGTCAAGCGCTCTAAAGGAAGCCACTGACCCGTTGGTCCGATTTCTTCACGAAAGCGATAGAAGAAAGATATGATGCTCAGCGAATTCCTAGAGCGAGGGGGACCCACTGGGCTACTCTCGCACGCGATAGGGAAAAATGGAAGAGTTGCTGGTACCCGCTCTAGTCACTCGACGATCAACGGGATGACAGGTGATACAGGTGATAAATTAATGTGTACTCTGATATGTAGCATTAAACCTTGACTGAGATCTGTTTGAGAGTATATTTATCCACAGTCATGCTGCATTGCAGAATTAATCATTTGATGCAATAATTGCGGGCAATGATCAGATCTTAGTGTTATAATAGTTCTATTAGCCCTCACAACTTACATGCATCGTCCTCGTAAACAATCAATTTTTGGTCAACAAGAAATCACCAATCTAGAACACCGAAAATTCAGCGGACACGAAGCAGCAGTGATCTGAAATGTATGTAGTACATCTTACGAGATTGCCCCTGTAGATGTTAAAGTAAGCTAATCTCTATTCTCTTGGTGAAAAGTTTCCTATTCCATGCGAAAGCATTCACCTTACATGATTAATGGGCGCTTAGAATTATGCTTTTCAGCTTTCTCGGCTTCACCTGTTTTCCAGTTGTTGTCAAATCCTTATGTGACGACCACCCACATGACAACGCTCTCATGTCGATCTCGTCTATTTTTTCTTCATGTGACTTATTGTCTTCGGCTGTTTTACTCAAATTGTGCACATTACCTTCAACGATTTAAGCTAGTATATCCAAGCTAGTATAGCGCATGTGGCGCAGTGGTTAGAGATGCTCTGTGTCGCACACGAAGTGCTCATGGCTCACCAAGCCATCCATCCTTTCGTGGTCGGTGAAACTAGTAGGAGACTGGTCTCCGACTTGACTGAGAAGATAAGCAGCACTGACTCGGTTCAGCGGGAGGCCACTGCGAGTCATTGTAAAGGCCAGATATGCATTCAATCACCTCAAACGAAGTCAAAAATTGAGAAAGAATGCATGGTGCATCCCTCAGGGATAGATCAATGCTGAGAGCTTTATCCTTTATTCTTTTTATCTGCGGTAATGTGAAAAGAATCGAGAAATGCTTGAAGAATTCCAATATGGAGATGCTCATTCGGTACATTGCCATCGACACAGAGAAATATTGCTCGCCTCGTTTTGATATGGGCTTACAAAAATTGTTAATATTGCTATCAATAGATCTTGTTGTGGCACGGCAGTAGAAGAATACAGTATTAGCAAGTCAATCACTATTGAAACCATGTACAAATGTCATTTTAAGTATTTCAAAAAAAAAAGAAATGGGAGAGAAAGAAAGAAAGAAGAAAAAAGGAAAGAAGAGGAAAAACCAAACCTCTTTCATCCTCAACAAGATTCAAGAACAAATCAGCCAGAACACTGAGTTTTATTACAAATGGCATAGAATTTCATTCCTCGCTGCTTTGCCGAACTCATCGATCATCTAGTAATCTTGAGTCTTGCCGTTCACACGAATCTGATCATTTTCCTGTATTTCAAAGTCAAAATCGACATTGTTTATCCACTTAACTATCATGATACTTCTACTCAGGTAATAACAATCGTTGATCTCAAAATTTAAGACTCTCCGGATCAATGAGGAAACCTACCAAGTAGTTTTACTTGATAAGCTGTTCCGCAGTGGTGGGAGTAGCAATGGTGCTTACTGAGTAGTAGCAATGATACCCAGTAGTACTAATGCAGGACAATATCGCATATCGCATCGCATTGTACTGCATTACCACTGCTTAGTAAACACTATTGCTCCCACCTTGGAACAGCTTATCATGATAAAACTACTAATTTATTCCAACTAAGCCGAGGCTCATCGCTAGTCGATTTTGAGAAACTTCCTTAGACAGTAGACGAGCAGAGACATTCATCTATTAGCCAAAAACTAAGGAGGATAAAGGCCATCTAATGAATGAATATGGCAAAATATGCTGGCTATTCATAGATTTGTTTTTTACTGACAATGTTTAAGCAGTAATCAAAAAATTTGTTATTGCATCTTGATAAAATTGTGATTGTACTTTATACATTGAATATGGAAATCAATGATGTTAAAGGCGATGAAATCGTCCTCAAATAAAGTCTGCTCAAGCATAAGCTTACCTCATAGTTTCATTAAACGAATTTGGCTTTCCACTCACTCCTTCCCTCTCTTCAAGCGGGGCTATGGAATCATGTACAGTGAAGTGTAGTCGAGTAACCACTGCATTGACCAATCAGAAATTCTCCATATCTGAGATCTCTATATCATTTCTCCTTCCATTAGTCAAGACAGAGTGAGCAGCATGAATAAATTCCCAACCAGTGCTTCAACTCCTCACTGCTGCTTTACAAATTATTGAAGACCTGCTTCTGATACCACATTGAACTTCTCTTCAATGAAAACAATTCCGGTCCTCAAGTATTCGATATTCTGCACCTAAGCTGTGTATAAAAAAGAATTTTCTATGACGGTGTCGCAATAGCTGTATTTCGAGAAACGGAGTGTTTCTTTTCGTTTAGTTCCTCAGCAGCACAACAGTGGATTTCTGGGTGGGATGATAAATTCAACAAATTTTGCAAGAATATTCATCTTGAATCTGATTCGCAAGTGCTATGCTGTAAAACTGAGAGATCACTTTTTTACTTGCGCTGTCATCGATGCATAGTCAACCATAGAAATGCTCGACATATCCAGAGATTTGTATGCTTTTGATATGAACTCAATGACTTCAAAATTTCAAGTTCTGAAAACGACAACATAACGTGTTTCGTCTTCTACGTTGTCAATGATCCATTCTCTGCTTTACTTTACAATATCAACTGCGGAGATCAAGAGCTCGCTCTCGAACGTCATGGAGATCTGCTCAACCCCTCCTGAGGACTAGCGTCGGTAGTGTAACAGTTCAGCACACGCCCTGGATAAAGTGAAATCTGGGTTCGAATCCCAGCTGACGCAAATGTTTTTGCACACCACTCTACACTATTGAGTTATTGTAACTTACAAAATTTCTCCTGCTGACATACTCCTCAAAAATCATATAAACAAGAGTTGTATCAGATCGATGTTTGATGCTTCTATGTAATCTTCTTCCAAATAAATCGTTCAACAACTCTCAATAGTTCACTGAAGATTTGTAGCGGAAGAGGAAACACGAAGAAAACATTTAGGGATTGTCTGATAATCATTATTTGAGCCACGCATGTCAATGGTCTGTCAATGAGGGCTGACTTATAGAGCCCGATACACGTGTTTCGATCTTGCGATCTCGTCAGTCGGGCAGTTGCCCTTTCTCGTCTTTTGCTAATCTCTGTGGGTGCTCCAGTACCCACAATAAGAGTTAGCGACGACGTACGTTTTCCACTCTATGTCCAGTGAAGAACTCACCAAACACAGAGTGTTGTACACTCGAATGCTCGTGGCTAGTATATTTAATATAACATATCTTTCATTTCGAGTGTTTTCTTAAGACCACAGCTCAAATTTCAATATGCCTGATAATCATTATTTGAGCCACGCATGTCAGTGGTCTGTCAATGAGGGCTGACTTATTTACACTCGAAATGAAAGATATGTTATATTAAATATACTAGCCACGAGCATTCACTCTGTACAACACTCTGTGTTTGGTGAGTTCTTCACTGGACATAGAGTGGAAAACGTACGTCGTCGCTAACTCTTATTGTGGGGACTGGAGCACCCACAGAGATTAGCAGAAGACGAGAAAGGGCAACTGCCCGACTGACGAGATCGCAAGATCGAAACACGTGTATCGGGCTCTATAAGTCAGCCCTCATTGACAGACCACTGACATGCGTGGCTCAAATAATGATTATCAGGCATATTGAAATTTGAGCTGTGGCCTTAAGAAAACACTCGAAATGAAAGATATGTTACAATTAGAGATTGTTACGGCGGACGTAAAGCTGAAGGATAACGCTCTCGGCTTGATCAGTCCCTGAGGAATGAGCCATGCATTCGTTTTCAATTTAATGCATATCTGGCCTTTACAATAACTCTCGGTGGCCTCTCGCTGTATCTATTCAGTGCTGGTTATCTTGCCGAGTAAGTCTAAGATCAGTCTGGTACGAATTATTTGATGACTCCAGAGAGATGGATGACTTGGTAAGCCGTGAGCGCATGATCGTACCATCGACCTTGTGAGCGACGCAGAGCACTTCTGACCACAGCAGGGTACGGTAGGGTAATTGACCACAAAGTCCGCTATTCCTTGTGGAAGTAAATATGCAGCTTCTCGTGCTATTATACTATACAGGGTGACATCAAATAGTGCTGGCGCGAAACTTTTGCTCCACACCATTGTGAGGGCATAACGACTGTTTCGAGAGTGCTTTGTACACCTATATAAATATATATATATATATATATATATATATCACGTATGTCCCTCCTGCCCCTCTGTCCAGCTAGTCGAGAGAGCACGTGGAGCCTCTCCTGGCAGTGGATAGGGAATTTCTCGCAAGTCAAAATCGACTGTTTGCATTTGCGGAGACTAGGTGTACTTGATGATATACTCCTTGCTCGCGCAGCGCCATTGACAAATCTTTATCTCCACGAGAAACTGGCCAAAATCTTGCAATCAAGCGTCTGCGAAGTACATGGGTGTCGTAAGGGTCTTCTTCTACAAATAAGCTCCTCTTGTCCCTCCGCAAGAAAGTGGGAAGTTAATCATGAGCACTTAGCTTCCACGTTCATGGTTCAGCAAGTTGTATGTTGAATATAAAATGTTGAAAACAACTGAAATAAGAGCCTTGTTTTGCAAGTTCGTAAGAGCTTCAGTTTGGCAGCATTAGGTGGGGCAAGTATAAAGAGTTGCTGAAATATCATGGTCAAACTGAGCTGCCAAAATCGAAACGGTCTATTGTGGCGATCTGTACCTATAACTCACGTACTCTCGCAAACAAATCCTCTGGAGAAGATCTATTAATGCAAGCAGGAAGGACAAGTTATGCTGTCTTTGGACTGGTTAAGAAGAGAGGTCGCCAACCTTTTCGTGCCCTATGGCACTAGAGAAAAGCGTTTCTTGAAAATGCGATCGTAGAGGCGTTATTAATCTCGTGAACTGAGCATGACCATAAACAGCAATTCATCTGGACAAAATAACACGGATTGGACGACTGTGGTTGAAGCGATGTAATTCAATGCTAACTTTTACAATTTTCGATGGTTATGTGCAAGCGTGAAACTGTCACGAAGCGAATTCGTATTGCTCTGCATGGACCTAGAAGAGTTTGTCAGAGTGGGCGATTCAGTCCTCATGGTCATAATTGGAGATTTTAATGGAGAAATTGAGAGAAGCCACATTGTGACCCACAGACCCTGAATAAAAGGAACAGGGTGTGAGGCTATGTGAGCTTCTCATGACGGCCAAAACTATCCATGGTAATTCACAATTCCAACTCTCACTCTCAACGGTGGAAGTGGGAGTCTCCTAGTAAAGAGTAGCACAACAAAACTGACCAATCTTACGGCTTTACAGTAACGGCGGTAATGTGGTGGGTGACTAACAACTCGCATACACAAATGGTAAGCAAATTCCTCTCATCACAATTTTAGTTAGCGCAAATAATCACAGCGCAATACCAAAAACCTGCCTGGTAGCTGGTACTGAGTTCTGATGCTGCTGCGCGGCAACCGCATGCGAAGGTCCAGAGGAGTTGAGTAAATTGTGCGCCATACAATAGTGCTCATATTTATTTCTAGGCAGTCACAAAGGAACATGTGTAGCGCGTTGAAGGACTTTGAGAAAATCTGTAAAAGAGATTATTGATTGATATAAACCATCCTAAAAACAAATTCCTAAGAAACAGAAATAGCATTGATTAGTATTTGATGTTATTCAACCTCTTCCATCAAGTACGTCAGTGAAGCTCATCTTGTAGATTTGGTGTCAACTCTGAGCTAATCAAGAGCTTCTACAGAATCTCAGCGAAAAATTTTCACGCAGGCCTAGAAGGAAATGGCAGAAATCTATCAGCATTAGGAAGGAAAAGAAAAATCCTGTCAGAAGTGGTAGTAGAAATAACGGTTTTGGGTGTCAGCTCCTGTCGTGAAGCATAGAAATCCTGTCACTGTAACGAAACTGCGAATGCTTAGAAGTAGGAGAGTACAGTGAGCGTTGTTCGAAGTGTGAGCGAGATATAACCACATGAAAATCCCCACTCACCTTTAAAACGTTGTAAATATTTCAAGGTGGATGTCAGAAAACGCTGACGTTTACTTACTATTTCTTCATTGTGCATCACAAGATATTACCGTATGCTTCGTATAGTCAAGTCTCATTTATTCTATGTAGAGGTTTCGAACTCTGCAGTGGTATACCTACTGCAAATGTTTCAAAAACGATCATCTAAACAAGCCAGTATGTTGTCCAATCAAGGATCTACAGCGAGGTCGAACTGCACTGGATAATTGACTCGACTCATCATCTCTTGGAAAAGAGGAAGGTATTGACATATTAGCCGAATGAAGTTTATCGACAGCCTGTGGTATTAGCTCAATCACCAAGGAATGTATTCAAAACGCATGTTTCATTGTGGTGAATGATCAGTTTAATGTATTCAACATTCAAAGTTCTTTAAATTAATCCGACAGTTCATACTTGCAACTGTGCTACAAGGCGAACATGCCTAAATCTCTTGTAAAATCATGGCGCAAGTACACTGAATACGATCCCAGAACTTCTAAGCAGCATAGTATGACTTGAACATTGAATTTTGAAAACTTTCATAAATGGCAGCATCTCGGGAGATATGAAAATTGTTATAAAAAAGCATTTCTTTCATTGTGCGAGTTGCATTGAAGCAGTGGCCGACTCAATTCATGCCGTTAAACGCTTCAATTCTTTCCAGCATCTTAGCGGAAATGTTCCGTCGCGTAAGTAATGAATTGTTTTGCCTGTTTTGCGAACGACATGTCGCTAGCGCTGTAGTCATCATCAGTCAAAAAATCATTTAACAAACTTATCTTGTGTGGATTACTCTGAAGTATTCAATCCATCGGTTATGGAAAAGTGAGAAGTCGTTGCGATTTCATTTCGAAAAAAAATTTATGACTCATCAGGTGTTTGGTCTTGTCACCAAGCAGTCTCAGCTATAAGCAAAGCTGACAGCTTAGCGAAAATAACCAATCCTTGTATCCGAGCTAGTGTAGGAGAATGATGAAGCGAGTGATGAATATTTATTGGGGTACTATCCATCTGATGCTAGATATCTTATAACTTACAACCGCGCGAAACCGTTGCGGAAAGATGTGCGCAGATTGATGCTGACAGAGAAAAGGCCATTGTGTTTAGGGACTAACGCCAAATAGCCATCAAAGGTTTTGTGATAATTGCACAAATGTAGAAGAAGACCTGTTTGATGATCAAAACAATTGGTAATGTTTAGTCCCATTTATCGTTACTGATCGGTTGTAGATTTGGTATCTTCAACTTCTATTTCTTGAGATTTCAATGAGGTTACCTTGGCCAATTCCACTTGTGTTGACGCTCATAATATACCCATAATTGATGTAAGAAGCATTTGGAATCTCGACAATCTTTTATTTTTCACATGCGTAATGATAAATAGATAATAAGAACGTTCAAGTGCAATTGTGCGAAATGGGAACGCGTATACAAATGTGAAGTCAATTTTCGATTCCAATTCCTTTCAGATACATATTTCTCTCCTCTACTGAATCGCCATCCTTACAACGAGCGTATGATATCCAACTAGGGTTTGATTGAAACATTCGTATTGTCACAAGATTTTCCTTAAAAAATCACAGTAAAATGCAAAACAAAAATTTCAATTTTCAGGACTTCTGAATAAAAGTGCAGCTCCCAGAATTGTACCGTTATAACACTAAGGACACGTTAAACCCTCTTATAGCTGTATGAAACACCAGAGCTGAACTGGATACACAACGTCGGCGAGCTTGAAGCACATCATGAA